ACACACACACACACACACACACACACACACACACACACACACACACACACACACACACGCACGCATGCACAGACACACACAGACACACACAGACACAGAGAGAGAGAATGATAGCAGAGAGGGTAGAACTGACCTCTTGTGGGTTTACTTGGGGTAGATGATCAGGCAGTGGAATAGGGATAGACAGTGTGTATCATGAAGCAGGTTGTTGCCCTACGTTCATTCGCATCTGGCTCTTTACAGCTGTGGCCAGAACCCTATTGCTGAGGTATGTCAGCAATAGTCAAATGCCATAAATCACAATGGCAAATTGCCACTAAATTAAGAAGTCAAGACTTGTATTCCTCATCATGCACCAGTCATATGGCTTGGCACAATATATTACAGCTTTATCACATTGATATTTATCATGGTTAAAACCATCTTTGAAATGCCTACATTTCGTGTAATAGATTTACTTGGTCATATAGACCAGATGGGCGGGATATAAATCAAACCAACCAACCAACCAACCAACCAACCAACCAACCAATCAACCAACCAACCAACCAACCAATCAATCAATCAATCAATCAATACTTCCTGTTACCATTCCTTTTTGTGAATAACTAGCAAGAATTTATTTTATATGTTCAAATTGTTAAAGTATTGTTTGTAGACAGAAAGAGAAAAAATAATCTTGCTAATTGTTTTTCACTTATTTTCATCAAAACCTGATCAATGCAAAATAATTAGTGCTCCTTGTCTAACGTTCTTAAGGGAGATACATTTTTGCAATAGCAAAAAAGAATGTTTGCAGATGATAGCCATGTTGGCACAAATTTCCAAACTCCATATGGAGATAATACTTTTATAGGCCAACCAAAACAGCAGAAGAGGTGTGCGGCGGCACACCAAAATGTGCAAGCTTTGGGGAAAACACGCCGAGGCAAAGAAGTAGTCCCAAACCCAGCAAAATCAGGGAGCTGGACAGGAGATAGATTGTATTTGTCTTCAGTGTGGAAGGGATTGTCACTCTCGAATTGGCCTTCTCGGCCACACTAGGCGCTGTTCCAAGACCTCTATTCAGAGCATGTTACCATAGTCTCTTGAGACTGAAGGATGCCTACTACCAACTGGGGAAAACTGTTTCTTTACCAGGGGAGATGTTAAAAGTAAGCAGTGTAGAGGGAGGGAAAGGGAATTAGAATTTCAAGCTGTCTGTCTATTGCTCTGGGATGTGATAGAGAAAGACTGTGGCAAACATTGTGGTTTAGATTTCACCTGGGATAGCCCACAGACTCACTGAGGACTAGAAAGTTAGAAACGTCATGTCCTTCATTTAAAACACAAAACTGTGCCCATCCAATCTGGGAACAGAGGTTTCTTGGTTCAAGGAAAACAGAAAGTGTATTCTCGAAGGCTTTCACAGCCAGAATCTGATGGTTGTTGTAGTTTTTCCAGGCTCCTTGGCCATGTTCTGGAAGAGAACACAGACAAGAGTTCTAGCTGCTATCCTCTGAAAATGCCAGCCACCGAGATGAAATGTTAGGTGAAATGTTAGGAAGAAAAACCTCCAGAACATGGCCAAACAGCCTGGAAAACCTACAACAACCGAAACAGAAAGTGATTAAGTGTTCTTTACATTCTCCACAGCAGAACCCATTTTAACCAACAGGGGAAATACTGCTCCAAGTTTGCACATTTCTGTGTGCCTCTGCAAACTTTTTGTGCCTTTTGGTTGCACTTGATGTCTCAATATCTAAATTATCAAGATAGGACAAAGAGCTGATGTTCCCCTTTTCTCTGAAAAAGATGAAAATAAAAGACAAACAGTTATCTGGAAGTTGAGTCAGGGCAACTGGACTGCTTTCTTGTTAGGTTGAAATGTTTCATTACTCATCCAAGTAGCTTTTTCAGTCTGATAACCATACCTGGATGACTGAGAATTTTCACAGAAAAAAAGGCACAGTTATTTGTCCAATGGCCCCATACCTAGATGACTGAGAATTTTCACAGAAAAAAGGCACAGTTATTTGTCCAATGGCCAAAGCAGCTGATAAGAAATCCCATAGAAATAAAGCACTGAAAACATGTTTAACAATGTAATCCACCTCTATACAGAGCTCTAACTGAAGGATTCCAGATTCCTTTTCAGATCCATGAAAGTCAATTAAAAATGACTCAAACTATGGAGAGAGGTTGTGTACTTAACTGTGAAATTTGTAATGTGATCAGGCACTGCCAACTCTGTGGTTTTAACCCCCCCAATGATTCTCTAGAGCAAAATAACTTTGCAAAGCCCACCTGTGCACAGACCTCAAGAACTTTATGAATTGTACCGTTAATAAGTCATGTCCATAATCCATTATGAGCTGCAACTGAAAAAACCTCAAAGGGGAAATTATGATATTTACTCAAAATTTTCTTTGCTTTTATTCACTTAGTTCTTTGGAAACTTCAGATCCAATTTAAGCTTCTGCCCTTTCTCTCCACTGCATCACCTTGTTCTAGTGTCCTTGGAAACAGAACTATCAGTCTAGCAAATCATACACCAGCAGTTCCTGTTTATGTGATGCTGTTAAATATAATGTGCATGAGTAAATGAATAATTCTTTGTCTGCACTAGCCATATGCCTTTGCAGGTAGTATGGTACATAAAATGTTAATGTGAGATAAGACCAACATACTGAAAGGGAGAAGATAAATGCATAATCATAAACTATACATGCTCAGAAAAATGAAATAGGTAAGTCTGCATAGAATTAACACTTTAAAAATCATATTCAACCTTATGTATTTTAATTGCTGCTGCTAAAAATTTTGCAGACTAAACCATTCTCTGTTTGTCTCAAACTTCATGAAGACAAGATACATAAAAATCAGATGATCAGCCTGGCTTATTACCTAACAAAGGACATTTTAACTGTTTGCACACATTTCTATAAAAAGGACAAAAGAGTAATACACAGACAAGCATTTCAATAACATCCGCACCTGGTCATATACAATTTTCTGAAATGACACTTAAGTAGTACTGTAGGCATGACTTGAAGTCATTCACATGAAAAGACCTTTCTGTACCTGGGAACTGTTAGTACTTGCAGACACTGTGTCATTGTATTCAGACAACTTGTTAAAAAAAGAGTCATAACACAGGCATGGTTTCTTGGTGGCAGATAAATTATTTTGATGTTCAACATGGTATAAGTGCTGCTTTAGCAAATTTCTTGTCTTGCCATAACTGATGCCCAATAGATGAGTTAAGGCAAAGGTCCAAAAGGGCATTGCCTGGGCATTATATCTTTCATCTGTTTGCTCTTACGCTGAGTCCTGCGTAACTAAACAAAGCAAACCAGAAGGAACGAAACTCAACTGCAGCCAGAACTTAAATATCGTGAGACAGGCCTGTGTAGAAACAGAAGGAAGGTTGCCTTCCAACCTCAAAGGAGAATTTGGGGCATAGCCTGGCATAGCAAATATTTGCCTAAAACACTTAGTCTGTGTGCTAATAATTAAGGAGAGTAATAATCATTTAGCTTTTATACAACATTTCTGAATATTGCTGAGTGCTTAACATACATAATTTTTGTGCAACCACTACAAAAATATTATGTGATAAATCAGTATTCTTTATTGATCAATTAGTTACACTTCTGTCACATCTTTTCTCTAAAGAATTCAAAGAGGCATCCATGATTCTTTTTGTCCATCCTCAGGATACCCCTGTGGGGTAGGCCGGACTGAGAAAGAGAAAGCGTGGCCAGGGCACTTCATGGTACAGCAGGGACTTGAACTTGGATTGCCTTAACTCTGTCACCATGCTGGGCTGGCCGTCCCCCACTAAGGCGAGAATATGTGGGTTGCAAAAGAGTATGTTAGGGACAGAAAACAGAATGAAGTGGTTGTCTTGGATAACAAGTTTTGTAGTTACCTTTGTACATACTAACTAGTTACTTACTTTGCTATTACTGTACTGTATTTTTGCCATCAAGGATGAAGAGGTGTGCTTACGTGATTTTCTAGCTTGTGTACCAAAATAGAGACACTCTGCCTCTTGACTCAAATAACTTACCATGTGTTGCTCCATCTCAGATGGTAAAGGTCTTGGGCCATTCCTGGGCTCTGTAGTGAGGCAGCGGCAGAAGTGGGATTCATTTGGTAGCTCAGCATCCTAGTCATCGCACTGCACCAGCTGCAGAACTGGGATCATGTGGTTGACTGGGCAATGACAGAAAAAGAACCTCATTTCTGATAGCTGGGTCTCCATCTGAGGGCTATATTTTGGTCTCTTTCAGGAATCATTCAGCGCTGCACAGCTGTGAAATATCACTACACTTCATCTTCCCTGCCAAGGAACCTGCCAGTGAATATTACCAACACAATCCGCCAGGATGAGTGGCATGCCCTTCGTAAGTATCCCTGGCACTGGCTGAACATCCCTGTAGTCAGATAATCGGAACTGACTATCCCAGGTAGACACCTGGTTTAAGCTTGAAATTAATAATGTATAACTCATAACGTGGTGATGAGATAAGAGCTGTTTCAGTTCTGCCTCTAAATCCTTCTAAATTGGGGGATATCATTAATCCATTTTTACACAATATACTGAAAATCTCCTTTCTAAGCCATCCTGTATTTTCTGATCAGAATAAATTTCATCAAATTATGGGACTCTATTGCTTAAGGGATCTGTATAACATCTGTAAGCATGAGGCACAGATCCTTAAACAACTGGGTTCGATGGATGTAACGTGACTGTAGATCTTACATTTTACTTGCCATCCCTTAGTAAACACATTAATTAATTCATTCATTCACTCATTCATTTAATTTTTATACAGTCTATCTAGCAAATTGCTACTCGGGGTGGTGTACAACAGAAGCCAAACACAATTTATATTAAACAGTTATGACAAACTACACCTAATCTACAAGGCAAGTGGCAAAAACCTATTAATTGGAATATCAAACCGCTTGGCCATCTCATTTTACAATTCATAGAGGAGAGTTGAGGCCTTTCCTAAAAATTCATGCTGTGCTGTTAAGACATTTCCAATGGCACTCTATGTGAAGCAAAAAGTGCATGGGGAAAAAATCCAAGTTGCAGTATTGAAGACTCATTAGGGGGGGGAAATGCCCCCATGAAAACAATCTCTGCGAATACATGTTAACACACTATTAAGGTGATAAATCACTGGTACTTGACTCCATTAAGAATTACTTGTCTTAAGAAGAGTTCTAGTACTAATAGCTGGAAGAGATGTGGGGGCTCAGGCTCTTATGCCCGTGTGTGGTGGACATGCTTGATTGTTATACCTGCTTGGGTGAGTACATTCAAAGAAATGGGTAACTGAGTAGTCCTAGGCTCTTATGCCCATGTGTGGTGGACATGCTTGATTGTTATTATGGTGGACATGCTTGATTGGGTGAGTACATTCAAAGAAATGGGTAACTGAGTAGTCCATAATTTGTCCCTTGAATGAATTATGTTCTTTATGTTTACCTATAAGAATTGCAATGTTAAGCATAAGGGTTTGATTGTCTTTACATGTTGGGCTGCAAGATCAGAGACAGCATCACAATGGAAGATGGGCAGAAACCCCTCTTTGGATAGCTGAAAAGCAAGACTCTAGAATTTGGCCTTAGTGGAAAAGCTGTCACAGGAGATACGTATGTTGAGGGATTTAAGTAGTCATGAGACATTTTTTTGCTACATAGTCTCCTTTTATTAATTATATATGGGACAACATTTCAGCAGCCATGGCACATTGTGAAATGATGTGCACAACTCAGCATGGTGCCTCTATAATAACCTCTTGTTTCTTAATCATAGATTTACATTTTTAAAAAGATATTTTAAGATATTTTTTTAGATTATTTAAATAAAATAAGTTTTTCAAAAGCTTGGTCAAATATCCTGGAGAATCATACGTACAGACACTTGAGAAATGGCCGGTGATGGAGGCGAAGGAAATTGTACACTTGAATTTTCTTCCCTGTCATAAACAAGCACACGAACGCTAGAATACCACAGAGGAGTTTAGCCCTTTTCGTGACATATTCGTTTTCCACTTACAAGGCCTAACTGTTGCAGTGGAGAAAGCAAATCTGATTTGAGTTCCCCTGAGAGTAGTTTTGAATGTTTTGTTCGAACATGTTAATTTCTTAGCAAGAAGTGGAATTCAGCCAGAGCACTTTGGTACAACATTTTGGGTCCTGTTCTAAGCAAGTGATTATTTTGTAGACTTTGATTCAGTCATGGCAGCAAACCTTTTATTTATTTATTTATTTTTTTGGCAAGCGCTGGAACTTTTGCTTTCTTAAATCTTTACCATGGCTTTCCTCAATCTGGCACCTCTGGATGTGTTGGACCATCCCCCCCCCCATGTGAATGATGTGAATTGTAATCCAGCAGGTCCAGAGGTCAGCAGATGGGGTGCTGCTTTAAAAGAACTTGCAAAATTGGGTGCACTTTGGTTTGGCAATTATTTGTGCAAATTCAAGACTGTATTTTCTTTCCAGTCCAGATCCCAAATTACTGCTCATGGACTTTTTCTCTCTCTGTGTTCCTCTTTTTATCTTGTTTCTTCCCTGAACCAACCTCCTTTCCCTCCCCTCTCTCAGATCTGCGGAGAATGACAGCCGGCTTCATTGGTATGGCAGTCTCCATCATCCTGTTTGGATGGATCATTGGCATGTTGGGTTGCTGTAAACAGCATGAGCTCATGCAGTATGTAGCTGGGCTGCTCTTCCTTATGGGAGGTGAGAGTTCATTTTCATTTTAGTCTAGAGCTTGTTTTCTGAGCAAAAGTACTTGGCCCTGTGCAGTTATACGCAATGGATCAGAGTCTTGGCAGGGGAGCTGGAGAAACAGCAGCCATTAAGCAGGAAATACCATTCTTTGTGGCAAGTGTAACAGAGGTGGGATACCATTGGTCTGGATAGGTGGGGTACAAATCAAATCAAATCAAATCAAATCAAATCAAATCAAATCAATCAATCAATCAATCAATCAATCAATCAATCAATCAATCAATCAATCAATCAATCAATCAATCAATCAATACTCTTAGGCTTCAGCCAGACTTCAGCTCCCAGAGTTCCTCATCACTGGCTACACTTCCTAAGGCTGATGGCAATTGCAGTCTGACATTTGAAGGGGCCACCCTTTGCCCCTTTCAGAATTAGAGTTTAATGCTTCTGAAATGCTCAAATAATGACAAGAAACTGATTCAAACGTGGATGTGTCAGACAATGACAGCTCTTCTTCTCTGTGTCCCTGCAGCTCTACTGGCAGTTCCCAGAGATGAAGACTGTTTTATAGAGATGCGAACTGAGTCATGCACAGGGGTTCTGTTGCTTGATGCAGGCCTTCCCCCTCCCCCCCCCGTACATTTTTATCAGCTACTGGTGATCTGCAGCAATTTGTAGGTGATCTTTTCCCATACTTCCCTGTTATTAATGGAGGTTATTAAGCAAAGCTGCATGGCTGTCCCAGCAGGCTGCCTGTATTAGCAAGAGGCTGAATTAGCCAACTTCTACGGTTCTATACTATAATTTGCAGACTTTTAACTCCAAGTGGAGTCACCACCTTTTCAGCTGTGCATTAAGAAGCAGCTCAAAACACAAGAATTAGCTGCTCTTCTTTTTCACAGCAAGGTAGCAATCAGAACCATAAAAAGTGACCAATAAGAATTGAGAAAACAGGTATAAAAGCTTCGGAGAGATTACACATAGTGTGATGCAGTAGAAAGGGCAGGACAAAATGATGATGAACATGTGGAGACTTTTCTCTAAAATCTGCCAGGAGGCATTTTGCTATAAGGTAGCAGAAAAGCATTTTATTAAGGTCAGCAGGGAAATCAACACACATACACACACACACACAAGCCTTGAAAATGGAATGCAGCTGCTGCTGTCCAATCCCTAAGAGGTTGCCCCCCCCTTTTCTGGTTCAGAATCTCTATAGAAAAAAGGAGCCCTCTATTGCTTGCTGCCAGTGTGGTGTTATGGATAAAGTAACAGACTAAGGCTCAGGGGACCTGGATTCAAATCCCTGCTTAGTGAATTTCCCTGCCGTGGAAATTCACTGGGGGGGGGGAAGGTTGACACTGGTAAAGCCACTCCTTAAATGTCTCAAATACTTACCAGGATTGCCTTAAGTCAGATGTGACCTGGTCGTACATAACATAACATTGCCTACTAGTTGTTGCAATCAAACAGCTGTTAAAGGCACAGCTGTAGCAACCAGTGAAACAAATGGCTATCCTTGGGGAGGAGATGCAACTTGATCAGGTGGCCCCAGCCTAGTTTTCAGGTAAGTTCCTTCTCCTGGATCATGCAAAGAGAAATGTATAGACATGGCTAGTGCCCAGCCATGTTGGCTGGAAAACTGTGGAAGTTGTATCCAAAACAGTGACTTTGTACATTTGGGTTCATTGATCATGTATGCTTCAGTTTAGAATAAAATCTTCCTGGGCCAAAGGCATACATTAAAAATACTGTCCTTGCTACACTGAATCAGCATTAATACATATTGATATATCTAGCACATTTCAGGCCTGTTACACAAAAATAAAAACAACAAAACACAGTACTAAATGTAGTGGTTCTTATTTTTGGATTGAAAATAGACAAGGTACAATCAATAGAAGTCATATTTATTTATTTATTTAAAATATTTGTACAGAAATAATAAGAAAAACCACAAAATGGAATGCCTTTGTAGGAAGTCATACAAGGCATCATACAATAACTGGGTAATTAAAACTGGCTTTCCTTTCAAGTTTCTTTCTCAGGATATATCCCAAAGTGAGAAAATTCCTGAGACATCTGGCTATCCTCTTAATCATGAAGGATGGATACCCTCTCATAAAGATGCCCGAGTTTATTGTTTCATGAATGCCTGCTCTGTGTCTTTAGGCTTACTAAAGGATGGCTGTTTTCTCCATACTACTTTGTCTTAGCTATACTGCAAGGTATAAGAAAATACATTGACTATTCTAAAAATATTCCTGTTACACAAAAATAAAAACAACAAAACACAGTACTAAATGTAGTGGTTCTTATTTTTGGATTGAAAATAGACAAGGTACAATCAATAGAAGTCATATTTATTTATTTATTTAAAATATTTTTATTTTGCCTTTCTCCTTAGAAAAGTATGTAAGATGCCTATCAGGGAGGCTAATGATGGATAAATTCATTCACCTATGAATGGGTTAAACTGATCAAAAGTAAAAGGACATAGCCCTCTAGATGTGACACTAGTGATTCACAGGTAGGGGGTAACTCAGAATAGTACGTATGCTAGTGACTTAGGTTCACAACCCCCCCCCCCAAAAAAAAAGATTGCCAGGATCAAAAGAGGCCTGCTCAAGCACGGCAAAGATGAGCACATGATCACACTTTTAATAATCTTCTGTGGCAAGTAGCATTCAAAAGTCCCTTTTCCAGTATGTGCTGTTCTTGTTTCAACTTAAGGATGGCTGTTTTCTCCATACTACTTTATCTTAGCTATACTGCAAGGTATAAGAAAATACATTGACTATTCTAAAAATATTTCTACAACTGCTAATTTTAACATATATGGTTATAGTGAGGAGGGATCCCTTTAAACACAAGTGTGAGGAAATGTCAGATATAGTAGGTATGACTTGGAGCTGGGAAGGTAGCTGCTTGAATGTAATTCCCAGAATCATCCAGTCAGGATGACCCCTCTCTTTAGCCTCCCCACAAACATTTTTAGGTTCTAGTTCATACCCTGTACTACTGTGTGCATGCCTCATTTTTGTAGGGTTCCCCCCTCCCCGTTTACGCAAAAGTAAAAAAATCTGGCCGCTTCAGAGCCTTCATTCTGCCTATTTTTGAGAAAATGAACAACACTAACTTCTATTGTCTTCCGTTTCGCTCTTCTTTCCTCTCCTGCTCAGGTACCTGCTGCATCATCTCCCTTTGCACTTGTGTGGCTGGGATAAACTTTGAGCTATCTCGTTACCCTCGCTATGTCTACGGGTTACCAGAAGACATCAGTCATGGCTACGGCTGGTCCATGTTCTGTGCCTGGGGAGGCCTGGGGCTGACCCTTCTGGCAGGATTCTTATGCACACTGGCTCCTTCTCTCAATAGCCCTCGGACTGTGGTACAGAAACCCAGACAGGAAAACGGTGCTGTGTGATGAGAAGAACACAACTAATTCTAGCAAGCACAGTCCAGAACTAGGCTACTGCAGTGGGGGTATCTGAGATTCACCAGGCAAGGGTGAGCCCCACTGTGGAACAAACTAAGGGGTTCAATAGCCTTGGCAAAGTCTTGGGAGACCACCGCCCTCCAATTCTTCAGTCTGCCTGTCTCTGTTAAAAACAAACCAATCAGGTTCATTCATATTCCTGATTTGCCTCAAAGGGTTTTCTGTTATATAGGGTGTGTTGCTGTAGGATCTATGTACCATTTAAACGGAATCAGATTTCTGCTAGGAGAAGCCACTGTGAATTCCATTTGGTGTCCAATGCCTTCAAAGGAACTCCGTTTCCGAGAACTCTTGAGGACCAGTCGGAGGTGATGACCAAAGGGAAATCTCTTCACTCTCAGTATTGATTTTCCTCTGCAGCAGAGACCTGATGCTATCTGGGTTTAATATAGCCAACTGCATTGAAGCCACATGTGATATCAGCTTACTTTGAGGGGGGGCGGCTATTGTCATCCAGACAGGGAGGATAGAAAGTTCTTCCTCTGAACCACTCAGTATCTGAATTTTGTCAGTTCTGGAAGCCAAATATGCATACCAGCTCACAGTGAAGTTTTTGGGTTAATATGTAGGATGCTAGGGTATACCACTAATCTTCAGAAGTTTGCAGAATTCCTCCACAAGGGGGCAGACTTCAGCAAAATAAAGTTTGTCAACACTGTCTTAAGTGATTCAATCTTACAGGCAGACATGGGTTTGTGTGTACCTGATCAGATCACTTACTGCTTTGGATATTCCTCAATGTCAGGTTGAAGCCACATCTTCATTAATGGGACAATCCCAAAGGTTGCAAGCTGAAGCCAAAATGACCCCGAGGCTGGGATTTCAGAAACAATGCAACCACTGTAATAGGCAAATTGAAATTTGTTACCTGTTTCAAGTCCTTCCAGACTGAGTGTTGTAGAAATTTTACCTTGGCAGATGAGCACACAAACTGAAAAACCCAACAGTTCCTTGGTACCAACCTCTTGTAAGAGAAAATGAAGCATTCTTAAAAGAGGGGCTTGCCCTAGGCATATAAACAAGAGCTGGATCTAAACTCAGGAACATCAATTATGGTGCTGAGAGGAAGGACTGGTCTTTCCTCGCTGTATTCCTTTTCTGTCTCCCTAAAAGACTGCACAGAAGCTTTCACTAGAGGGCTGTTTACATTGTATTTTTAAGTGGCATGTAATTAATTACTCTGTGCTGAAGTCAATGTATTCATGGAAAGTGTGGTTTTTAAATGGAAATTGTACGTTTCAAAAAGCATTAAATTAAAAGGCTTGGTTACAGTGACAGAATGGAAATTCTTAGCCTTTGAAGAGTTATCCCTTTGTCTTCTTTACCTGCATAAAAGTTACTGTCCAAGAAACCGTGATACAAAGGGAGATAGAAAGTGTTGATCATTTCTACAAGCAGGCTTTGGTCATTTACTCTTAACGCTTCTGGCTGATCAAACCTAATGTGACTATGGAGCAGGCTTCACCTCAAAGAGAGATGCTGGTCACAGAGATCATAGGAAACTACAAAGTATACATTGACAGGAATTGTGCCATTGAAGGGGTAAGAAAAGATTAGTATCAAAGAATAATGGAGTTGGGAGGGGGCTGTAAGGTCATCAGGTGCAACGCCCTGCTCAATACAGGCATCCCAATCAAAATATATTTGACAGACAAATGTCTAATTTTCTCTTAAATGCTCTAACAGGAAAATTTTCCAGACAGCTGACCAAAATCTGGATTCCTGTAACCTGAGCTCATTATTGTGTCCAGCACTCTGGGATTATCAGGAACAGATCCTGCTCCTCCTCTGTATAACTATCTTTCAAATATTTGGAGAGTGCTTTCAGAGTCTTCTTTTCTCTATGATAAACATGTCCATTTCTTTCAGTCTTTCCTCACAGGGCTTGGTTTCCATTCTCCTGATCATCCTTGTTATCCTCCTCTGAACTTGTTCCAGTTTGTACCCATCCTTCTTAAAGTGCCGTATCCAGGACTGGACAGAGTATTCAAGATGAGGCGTAACTAGTGCCAAATAGAGGGGAACTACTGCTTCACAGGATTTGGAGACAGTACTTCTGTTAATGGAACCTAAAGCATCATCTGCCGTTTTTTACAGCCATATTGCACTGCTGGCTCATATTCAGCTTGTGACCTGTAACAATTCCAAGATCTTTCTCACTCACAATATTACTGAGCCAAAGAGTATTCAAGATGAGGCCTAACTAGAGCCAAATAGAGGGGAACTACTGCTTCACAGGATTTGGAGACAGTACTTCTGTTAATGGAACCTAAAGCATCATCTGCCGTTTTTTACAGCCATATTGCACTGCTGGCTCATATTCAGCTTGTGACCTGTAACAATTCCAAGATCTTTCTCACTCACAATATTACTGAGCCAAGTGTCCTCCATCTTATAACAGTGTGTTTGGTTCCCACCACCCCCCCTGTGTAGAACTTTGCACTATCCCTGTTCAATTTCATTCTGTTGTTTTCAACCTTGTGCTCAAGTCTATTGAGAACATTTTCAATTTTGTTTCTCTTTCAGAGTATTAACTGTTCCACCCATTTCTGTGTCATCTGCAAATTTGTTAAGCATTCCCTGCACTGTTTCACCCAAGTCGTTAATAAAAATGTTAAAGAGCACCAGGCTCAGGACCGAGTGTTGTGGTACCCTACTTGTTACCTCCTCCCAGTTTGGGAAGGTACCATTGATCAGCACTCAAGAGTACATTCTGTAACTGTAGCTAGCTACTCAGAATATCATGTGACACTTTCTCAAAGGTTTTACATTGTATCTATAGCATACCTACCAGGGAGGTTGCCAAATCAAAAAAATGAGATAAAATTAGTCTGGCAGGATTTGTTTTTGACAAATCTATGTTGGCTTCAAGTTATCACTACACTGTTTTCAAAGTGCTTGCAGTCACTTTAAAATCTCGTCTAATTTTCTCTGGGATTGACGTCAGGCTGACTAGTCTTGTAGTTCCCAGATTCCTAGTGTCATTAGCCCTTGTCCAGTCATCTTGCGCTTCTACTATGGACGTACCGGAATAATGGTTTCTCTTCCCAGCCCGCCCCAGCTTTTAGCATCTCTTGCCAACTTCAGCTCATGCTCAGCTTTTTCTTTCCTGGTGGCATCCCTGCAATTCTTTGTTACCTTTCTGTACTCTTCCTTTGTGGTTTGGCCTTCCTTCCACTTCCTATATGTGCCCTCTTCCCCCCCCCCCATTTTCTCTCCAAGCTTTTTGCGAAGTCATACTGGTCTTTGTTTTCCTCCTTTTTTTCCCTTGTTGGATCTGTTCGTAGTTGTGCCTTTAGAAGGTCCTTTTAAAGAAAATCTCTTCCCTCTTGGACTACTTTTCCTGTCAGGAGCTCCTGCTGTGGGACCTTACGCATCATTGTTCTGAGTTTATTAGAATTAGCTTTCCAAAAATCCAGTGTACACAAGCAGCTACAATAGCTTTAAAAGAGAGCCAAGAATTCAACAATACAGATCATAAGTTTGGATTGCTGGTGCAAACCTGGATGTCTTGTGGCTGAAAAATCAACACAGTTACGCCTTATATGAAGTGTAGAACCCACAAAGTTAATTTTTCTTCCTAAAATGCCCACCACAACAGCTGCCTTACTCAAAGCAAATGTTTTATTTTTGCCCCATTAGGTAAAAGAAAGTAACACAGTTCAGTTTCAACCAGTATGGTCCTGTTTGGTGTAAGAATCAGGCATAATATTGTAGATTGGCTTTCTTCTTGGCCTGTACCTCCAAGATCCCTTCCATATAATCTTCGTGGGTGAGTTCCGTTGCTCCATGTCGCAGGGCAATCATTCCCTGACCCAACAAGAAAAAGCACAGTTCAAGAAACAAGTCTTAACAATGGATGCCACAACCTAATACCGCAGATTGCCACTCTCATGCTAAATTAACTCCCCCACTCTGGTTCAGCATCAGCTGTTGAAGGCAGTTCCTTAGTTCCTCAATGGAAACCCATCAAGGAAACGATCTGGTAAAACTTACCGCTTCTACACACACTGCCTTGCATTGTGCTCCATTGAAATCATCAGTGCAACGAGCCAGCTCCTCATAGTTCACATCAGGGCTGCAGAAAGAGATTTTAGTTTTAAAAAACATTTTCACTGGAAATATCATGGTAACATTTAAAACTCCAAAGCTAAGATGCCATGTATTCACTGATAAAAACAATTAATTAAATCTTTGCCAGAATTTAAGCCAAATTTTGCAGTCTACATATATTATGCAAATCTGATTTATTTAATTCTGCATAATTTATACTGGTCTTGTTGGTAACAAAGAATGACAGAGATAATGGAGAGCACTAAATCCCTGCCAAATGTTGGCATTTTTACTCAACCTCTTTCACCTATGTGATTTCAGTTATCACTCACAGAAGCACATATTCACAAGCACAATAACTAGAAAGTGGCTTCAACAAGAAAGCCTAAGTCGTAACAGTTTATGTCCAAAATCATATTGTGCATATTGTGGACCATGGTATGTACTATCCTGTAAAGCACAAAGTGAACAATGCGAAGAGAGGACAACACATAGTCATTTCCATTAAAAGGCAGCTTCATTATCAATACCTGACATTCATTTTCCGTGAATGGATCTGCATAATCCTGGCTCTGGCTTCCTCATTGGGCATAGGGAACTCAATTTTGCGGTCCAGCCGTCCTGAACGGAGTAGGGCTGGGTCTAGAATATCCACACGGTTGGTTGCAGCAATCACCTGGATAAAGGAAATCACTTTTGAGCTGTGCCAGCATCAAATACTACACTCTGAAATGCAACTGTCTCTGTTGAGGTTTTTCCTCATTACCATGATTGCTAAAGCTGCTCTGTAATACCTGTTTGCAGCTCTGCTTGATATACCCTTCCCCAAGAGATACTTACCTTTACTTGTGTATTAGGCTGGAATCCATCAAGCTGGTTCAACAATTCCAACATGGTCCTTTGTACTTCTCTATCACCAGCTTTTTCACTGTCAAACCTGAAAGAAAACATGGTGCATTTCTTGTATAAAAGTCATTTTATCATTTGACATATACATCTAGGCTAACTGAAAATACAACTATGTCAACAGCATTGTCAAAGAAATCATTCTCTCATGGTCTCGTTGCCTATTTCCATAGCAACATGAGGAAGAGTCTGGATGATGTGAGTTGACACAATTAATTCCTCCACCAGCATTAATGGACCAACTGAGATAAGTGACTAGGTCATATATATCAGAAATAAGGGCTCTATTTAGGGGAAACACTATTACCCAGCCTTCTGCACATGGTTATAGCTAGAGAGATAGCTTATAGGACAATTTTTTTAAATAGGTACCATACAATGGGCCACACTGGGCTACAAAATTAAGTCACCTGGTTCCTAGGACACTCTTAACATTATGCAATTGGGAGACACAGGAGAGAGGAAGAAAGATGGAAATAATGTTTGTCTTCTTAAACAGCAGAGAGAGAGAATGCAAGAATCCAGACATCTAAATGATAACACTAATCCTCCAATGTAAAAGAATGTACACTCTACTTGGGCAACTGCTCTGATTTATGGGCCTTTCTGAAAATCAAGGGAGGTAGAAGATGCTAAAATGCACTATAAACAAAATTACACTAGCACAATACTTCTCATTTTCAAGGTGCATTTCCGTCTTCTTTAATTTGTCTTTCAGTGTATTGCCAAGAAGAAAGCAGTACTGCTTCTCTTTAAAAAAATAAATAAATGGAGAACTGTCTGAGGCTGCTCAACCAACTGCAGTGACTCCATTGAAGAGGCAGGATTTGAGCTTCAAACACCTAATTTCAACTATGTTAAAAATTTGTTAAGTGTGAAATGTAGACATTCATTAGCAGATACACAGAAACAGAATGGGTGGAGGATAATGTTCCACCATGAAGTTCCCACATGACCCCCGGGTTGTGATACTGTGAGCTGAGGTTGCTCTGTTTGAACAAGATGTATAAGGAATATCATCAAAAGGACTCTTCTGCATGCAGTAAAAATGAAAAGAATACCAGTCAAAGTTAGTATATCATCACATTATCTACTAAAGGTAAAAGGAGCTTATAACAGTACCTCAATGGCTCCATATTAAAGTGGTTCTTAAGTTCTGTACATCTGTTCTAATCAGAATACAAAGTTCTAGAGTTTATTTCCCCTCATTAGGAACTTTCACCACAAAGAACACTTTGTTATCTAGATTGTTTCACAGGAATGATCTTGCTTTTGTTATATAAACCATTTAATTCTGTTCTCAAACACATATGAGACTAACATAGATGATTTCAAAAATAAGTGCCAGCTACTGAAAATAGATACACTTCGCTATGACATGATACCTTCTATTCACCAATTGTGAATTCATTCTCCGGGTGTGATCTTGTATGTAGTCAAAAGGACACCCTCTGCCCCCAAGGGGAAAGTACCAGCAGGCTAATGAGAATCTGGAGGTCTACAGAACTACAATATATACATGATTGCGTATTTTGATAAAGAAAGAGCAAACATTAAAATCAGCCCAAGAAATACTGAGTGCATTCAATGGTCTCAGAATGCTGACTATTGAGGGGAGGCATCCTAGAACAGGGTATAGTCACCAGGCTGGCATTCTAAACTGGAGCACTCCACAGTGCAACGTTTTGCTGGAGGTCGGTCACACCTGTTGCAGGACTTCTGAGGAAATTTTGCTGGAGGTCACACCTGTTGCAGGACTTCTGAGGAAGTTGAAATTTCACAGGAATTTCACAAATGATTCCATCACATATATTGATGCTGGCCTATAGCCCTTCCAGAGTCAAGAAGAATACAGTAAATCTTTACACACAAGCCTCCCTATCTACGAGACCGTAATATTTGGTGTATGCGAAGGATCTGGGCATTTTACCTCAGAACTTCTAAAAGAGAATCCCAAGAATCTCACCTCTTTGTGCCAATGGCATCAAGTTCATCAATAAAAATGATTGAAGGTGCTTTTTCCTTGGCCAACGCAAAGGCATCTCGCACCAACTTGGCTCCATCTCCAATGAACATCTGCACCAGCTGTGGACCAGCCAGCTTCAGGAATGTAGCCTAGAGCACCATTGGGAGATAAAATATGTTCTTAAATTAAATAATATGTGTTCTAAAGTCTCAATTTCTATGAGGTAAGAAAAGTGTAAAAAACTACATTGGAGATAAAATACCGTTAGTGAAATACCATTATGAATATGAATCTGGATTTTAGGCATGGACTAAAACTTTAGCAACTTTAACTGTGAAGCAAGTATGCAGCCACCTTCCCTCTATGCCAAAAGACTATGCAGTTCCTAGAAATTAGGAAATAAATGTCAAAGATACCAGTCTTACCTTTGTCTGTGCAGCACATGCTCTGGCTAACAGTGTCTTCCCTGTTCCTGGGGGTCCATACATGAGTACCCCTTTAGGAGGCTGGATACCCAGGTTTTCAAATTTCTCTTTATGATTCATTGGCAAGACAATGGCTTCTACCAGCTGCCAAGACACAGAGACACACATAAGCTCCTCCTCTTAACCATTAAATCCCCCACAATGAATAGAGAGAACATGATGCCTAGCAACTTGCATCCCAGGACAAATTACAATACATATGACACTTAAAACATATACACAGGTTAAACATAAACAGTCATAACAATCTAAAAAGCAAGTTTTTTTTAAAATACCTTCTTGCTCTCACCTCTTGGATCTGTTTATCCAGTCCTCCAATATCACTGTACTGTTCTGTAGGTCTCTCATCCACCTCCATAGCTTTTACCCGTGAGTCATACTCTGTGGGCAAGGTCTCCAGAATCAGGTAAGAATCCTTATTCACTCCCTGCAAATATAAATCTATCAACAGGCCTTGTCTACTACAGAAACCCACTTTATTTTTATTTTTTTACTTTTTTGCTGGGGAAGAGGGGACACCTTCATCTACTGATATTCCAAATCAATGACCTAGCAGGTGGTACCTATCAGACAGCATTATGAAAAGGATGGTGGTGGGATCAGAAAATAGAATCAAAATATTTCATTGTCTTCAGGGAAATGAGTCAGTTCAATTTTTTAGCCCTATTTCAAGGCATTATAAAACCTGATAATCATTGTTACACTGTTTTTCTCCTGATTCTGTTTTGCTGTTAGAATAAAGAAATAACACTCTTATTAGTCTACAGCAGAAGTTACAAAACGCTGAAAAGAGAACAAAAGCTTTAAATGGGGAAAAAAGAACAGAATCTTTAGTTGCAAGAACAATTAGGCTAAGATATGAACAGAGAAAAATATTTTTTGCTATCCAACAGCCCTAGATTCAGTATTAGAGAAATAAGCAAAGCATGTATGAGTTGCAACTTAACCCAATATAATGTAGTTATTTTACAAAATAAACCCAGGGTATATGTGTGTATCTAGGTTTTTTAAATATGCCACAGCCAAAAGCAACAGTTCTTATGAAATACTTCACTGAAGAGCATCCACACTGCAAAGTGTATAAATGGTGGTTGTCCACTAAGATGACGTGGTGTGTGAAATGGAGTACCACAGTATCATGCAAATGCAGAAGAAGTAATCTGGGATACCGGTTTCATTCTAACTCTAGGAGTGTCTGTTTAGATTAAATAAAAATAAACTGAATAAGTATTTGTAGCTACTGACAATTGCATAGTACAAGAGCTACTCACCACTAGGTCTCCAGGCTTCAGTTTTTCAGCATCAACTAACCCAATCACAGGAAGAAAATAAGTCTGTTGAAAAAAAGCAGTGAAGTACTCTTGACATTACTCTGTCTAATCTCCTTCAACATCTTCTCAATACTTGGTTAAATACAAGGTCCAGATGTATACTTTTTGCCCTGGATACAAGATGTTTTGGAGTCAAAAATTCAGACAAGGCCTGCTGACAAGAACCAAGGAATTCACCTCTAGTATTTATAGCAAAAAGTATATCCTGCCCATGGATGAGCATACCTCAAATTTAAAATGGAACAACAAAAACCGTTTACACACAACTTAGCATCCACAACAAAAGCAAAAACAACATTCTCTTTATGAGCCCTATCTTAAAAAGGTGTCCTCAGATAAAACCTTCTAACATACGCTTGAAAGTTAGCAAAGATCTGGCATGGCAAACCTCTCTTCAGAGGCTGTGGTACGTTTTTCAGATTTAGACAGAAGGGCACATACTTCAATGGACATGTTTTTGCACACACAAGACCTTCAAGTAAATCCTTGGCAGTTAATTAAATCCTTACCAGGCAAATAGCAGCAAATATCTTACTGAATATAAGGTAGTTTCACATATGTTAATACACAGTACTTCCTTATTCTATTCCTCTTACCTGACGAGTGGAGGTTTTGATCACAGCACACTTGCCCTTCCTTTGTGAATCTAGGTCAATATTTGCTCCATCTTCTTCTTGGTCATTTGGATCAACATCTAGCAGCTAAAGGTGCAAATAGATTATCAAGAGAGCAGATGCACTGGTCAAGCATATAATGAATGTAACATATGATACGGACTGGCTCACATTTATGCATTGCAATGAGAAATGTTCCAGATATTAAACTATCATTAGTGACAGGATCTGTTTGAAAGATTTCTAAAATATCTTTGGCCTGCTATTCATAAAGAAGCATTCAAAGTCTGCACAAATCTCTCGGGATAAGGGGGTCAAAAAGATTAAGATACCTTCTGTACAACTGCAATCAAGAAAAGTTATAGTACATTTGTGTATGAATGCAACTAAATGATGATAAAAAGATTGCAATAATTCTATTTCTTAGCTGAGCTCCAATAAAAACAATTTATTTACGTATTTATTTACTGCATTCCTATATCACCTTTTTCCAGGCAGTGTATTTTATAACTCAACAGGCAACATCTTCCAGGGTGGTCTCACAGTATAATGCATATTAAGTAATTTCAGAATTTCACAATCCCACTGTGTTCACTGGTGTTCACTCCCTGATGGGTAGAATTTGCTTGTATAAGTTTATACTGGTATAAACTCGCATCAGGTCCTGGGACTATTTAATTTAAACTAATGGAGAGCTCTGTATTCCCCACTTTCAGGTTCCAAAGCTCCCTAGGGCTCCCTTTTGCTTGGGGAAGTCTTTGGGAGCCTTGTTATGGTGGAGGGAAAGCTTTAATAGTCAGAAATCACTACCAGATCATTGCTGGCAGTCCTGGTCCTGCAACTGGTGATCTGGCAACAACTATTTGCTATTAACAGCTACCCTTGACTCATCTTGAGTTTCCCAAAGGCTTCCTTGGGGTAAAAATGGAACACTAGGGAGCCTCACAACCTGAAAGGGCAGGGATGGATGGGAATAGGAAGCTTTCCATCAATTTAACTTAAATATTTCCAGTGCCCAATCTGGGTTATGCTTGCATAAATTTAAATGAACAGGATTTTGCCTATTATGTTATTTAGAATTCTAGTCAAAAGACCATACTAGGAAATTGTATCTGCTCATTAACAAGCTGCCTAGTGGTCTTATAGGCCAGATGGGTGGGGTATAAATCAAATAAACAAATCGAAAGAAAGAAAGAAAGAGATTTTGCCATCAGGACTAGATTGTTAACGAGTCTTCAAAACACAACAAAATGGAAAACAAAACAAAGGCGGCACTCTCTTTTATGGAATCAGCTCATTAATTGTTCCACTTTTTTCTACGCCATATCTGCCCTTTTTTTCAAGGCCAGTTAAGCACCACCATATTATATTAACCAGTGAAGACCATCATGCAAAACAGCAAAGAATCTTCTCACATGCATGAATAATTGTTTAACAATGTCAATTTTATTTTCAGTTCAAGAAACTCACCTCTATGACATTGGAAACAAGGTAAGGCAGGGTTTTGTTCACTTTGATCTTCTCACTGTTCTCTTTGATCTTATCTTTCATGGCCTGTAGCTCATGGGTTACCCTCAACACCTCACTCTTCATGATCTGTAAAGCCCATAATATAAATCAAATCAAGGAATTTAAAAATTAACAATATACTTGTACTCACATGAATATGGAAAAAGTTGCAACTAAGCAGAAATACAAAGAGAAATCAATCAAATAGGAAGAAACCATTGCTGTGTACTCCATCTCAGCCAAGTCCCAGCCTACAAGCAAGACACATACTACTCAAGAACCGCTGTTGTACCCTGTGGCCTTCAACATGCAGAAGCAAACGTCTGTACCTATTCTGTATAACACCTGCAGAAACTACTGGGTTCAGCCATTTAGAGGTTTGAATTGAATTATTAGCAGCAAACAGATGGCATCCAGATTCCTCTCATTTCCACTGAAAAATTGACAAGAGGCACTGGAAGCCCTGAAGTGATGTTTTGGAGACTTCTGGGAGAGTATAAGAGTAAAACAAACAAAAGCAACACAGGTAAGACAGAAGTAGTCAGTTATTAATTTCAGTAAGCTCTGAGAAAGTGACTCGCTTGTTTTGGATAAGGTTGCACTCCCTCTAAAGCAACTAGCTTATAGTTTTAGGGAGACTTCTGGTTGTTACTGCTTTCAGGTGCAGAGATGACAATAATGGACAGGAGTTTTTTACTCAACTACGCTGAATTTACCAATTGACCCCCTTTCTGGAGACCGCTGAGTCTTCAGATTCAACTTCTATAATACTATATTAGCTTCTAAGACTCTAAACTGTGTAGCACCAGAGCAGCATATGAATCCCCCTCCTTCCTCAGGATCTTGCTTCTTAAAAACTGGAATGATGGAATATTCTCCAGGCAGCAAGAGGCCAATATTGACCTTCTTGTTATTTATTTTTCAAAAGTCCCTGGAAACAGTATTTTAGTTGACTTTCCTTTGCTATCCTCTTGCCCAGAGAAGCGGGGGAGATAATCTCGGCATATGCTGGTAAAGAGAAGAATTAGAAAGCCCTGAAGAAGAGAAAGGAGGCGATGGAGCTGGTTACTGCCGGCCCCATCCGATCTCACCTTGATCTCACTGTCCAGCAGGCGGGTTCGCTGCACGATCTCCTCCGTGGACATCTTCAGCACCTCTTCACCAATGCCATCCTATGGAAAAACACACCGTCATAGCAAGCGAGGATCCTCCATTTGTCCGGTCGCGGCCCGTACTCTTTAAGGACGCTTTTTAGCAGGCCAGACCGGGGAGGGCAATTTTCTGCCCATACCGGCAACGAATCCACAGACGACTCCCTTCCTCCCGGCCACTTCACAAGCACCCGACTCATCCCAATTTCTCACCTCCGCTTCATCCCAGACCGACGCCATCTTTTCCTCAACAGAATAGTTACACTTCGTGTTCGAAACGGCGAATTCCGGTGCTGCGCGGATAGAGCGCCGGAAGCGATTTTTAACGTCACGCATTCACGGCTTTTTCTTTCACGACTTTTTCGATTCCTAAATTTCATTTCGCGGCCCTTCTCCTTAATCCAGAGAGACGTATGCGATTGTCGAATCTGCGGATTCTTCTGCACTCAAACAAGAGGTGGTTTTTTGCGCATCACGTGATGATTCTCAAATTCGCTGAGTGATGGTTCGAGCTTTACAGGGGGAGGGAAATAATTGTTCCGCCATTTTTGTTTTGGGCACAGGAAATGGTTAGGACCGCTTAGAACCATAGAGATAACTGGCTAGAAGGACATACGAACCCCTTCACGTGGTTTCATTAGGGATCGCCTCTCTGTGGGGGGAGCCAAATGACTACGTCATCTGTCGGTATCCGGTACGGTTAAATTAAATGGGGGGGGGGTGGAGAAATAGGACGGGCGTTCCATCAGAGTGGTGATAATTCATTTTTTCATCTAACCGAAGATGGGTTTTGTTTTGAAATTTGAAAGTTGTAATCTTATTTCCACAAAGATCTTGGTGACATGAGGTTTTTTTTTTTAAGCTTTCAACCAAAGCTTGGAGCTCATTGTAGCAATTTTGATTTTGGATGTGGCAGTTTTGAATAATTACTTTATGTTGCATCCAAACCAGATTTTTAAGATTCTTCAGTCAAGTTTTTCCTGCGCTTGTTTTCCCACTTTCTTTACCTTGATTGGTCAGCTGTAAAAATCATCTCGTTATATGACTAGATTTCCTTACTTTTTCGATTTCTCAACATTTATTCACATGTTTTGGTATTACATTGTGGTCACCTTTTCAATGGAAGAAATTCATGACGTTGTGCAATAAATCCGCATTTCAAACACTTCTAATCTGTTTTATAAAATACTAACTGCTCCTAAAGTCCACAATTCCATGCTGTAGGATAGAATCAGGACAATGCATATTCGTGAGCACCAGTTTTAATTTTTCTTATTTAAATTTTTCTTAAAAGCAGCTGCTCTAAATCATTGCTTTTTGGACTGTCATTGAATATCATTAAAAAGATTGATATGTAGCTTACTACCAGTCCTCTTAAGCAGGTCTGCAGCTGGGAGTTTGGAGTCTGAAGGTAGTTACAGGGAGAATGTAACATGACAGACTATTCCAGGCAATGTAAATCAACCTTTATGCTTGAACTAAACTTCTGCATAATTTCTTGTATCTTGACAAAATATGTTTATTAGTTTTAAAGCAGTGGAGTTCAGAGAATCCATAGAAGTATTTCGCAAGGAAAGGCCAAACAACTAGAGTGATACCCACCTTATTTACATTCCATTTGGTTTAAAAGTGTGCTGTGTGGAGCTGCCCTTGGAAAATGTTCAGACTGTAAAGTGGGTCCAAAGTCCTGCAGCCTGGCTATTGTCTGGAACCAGTTACAGCAAGAATTGAATCTTTTTGCAACAAAGGCATCAGCTGCTACCAGTCCAAGACTAAGTTTTTTAGGGCTTGGGTTCACACTGTCTGAAAGACCTATCTGAGCCTGGCTTGACCTAAAATTCCTTAGAAGAGGCCTTAGTCTTTAAAATACTTTTTAGCAGTATTTTGTCCATTTATGATTACCTGTAAGGAAGTTATGAAAGGTACTCCCAAAGATGTCAGTTACATGTAGAAACAAGAGCCTTTTTCCTCTTCTCTTGTCTCTGCCTAATCTTGGATGTCAGAAAAAAGATGGTGGCAAAGTCTTTATGATTTTGCCTTTGTACTCGGACATATCTCCTCCTAATGTTTCAGGTTCCTCAAAGGCCTTTATTCACAAATAGCTCGTGCAGTCTTCCCTGTTCACTGTAACTTCTGTTAACCACAGCATATAATCCTGGGTTAGCAATTTTCTGTCCTATATTGTCTTAGTCAGGTTGTGGGCGGGGGGATTCAACCTTGTGAAATCAACCTGAAGCACTGAGGTAAATGCTGATGTAGCTTTATTGATTCCAATATAAATAGTTTACAGAAAGTATAAATATATTGCTGACAACACCACAATCACAGACAATTTAACTGCTTTTGCCTATGTAGCATCACAATACTATGGCAAAGGAATACAAGACAAAACAAGAACACTTTTCCTAGGACTGCCCAGGGGTTGGAAAATTTACTTTTAAAATTATAACTTCCAGAATCATCTGTGGCAGGAAGTTTTAGGGAACATAATCCAAAAATAACTTCCCCAAGTTCTGTCACCATCTGACTTTATACCATCTCAACAGACTTTCCCACAAAGAAACAAAGTCCTGTGGGTACCGTAAGTGGTGCCCCGCTTGACGACGTTAATCCGTTCCGTTAAAATCGCTGTCAAGCAATATCATCGTCAAGCGAAAGAAAAAACCCATTGAAATGCATTGAAAACCGGTTGAATGCGTTCCAATGGGTGAAATACCTCATCGTCCAGCGAAGATCCTCCATAGGGGAAGCCATTTTTGATTGCTGTCTTCCAGAAATAGGTCCGGAAAACAGCGGGCGGCCATTTTGAAAATGCAACAATCAGCTCTTTTTGATTGTTGGGAAGTAAAAATTGGTTCCTGAAGCAGGGAACCGATTGTCGTGAAGCAGATTTTCCCCGTTGAAACATCATTTTGCGATCGCAATAGCGATCACAAAAACCTCATTGTTAAGCGATTTCATTGTCTACCGGGGTAAACGTGAAGCGGGGCACCACTGTAAATGGAGTTGATTTCAGACAAAGAGGATCTGCTGCTCTGGAAATAATTTGAGGTGTACACCTGTACATAAAAAATTGACACACAACAGAAAAGCATGCTGCTAAAGGACAAGGAGACATGACAAAACTCAGTGTTTTCAGCTTGAGTTTGTTATGCAAAGGGTGCTAAAAAGAACCCTATTTTATACTGTTGATATGTTGATTTTCCAAAGCACAGGCAGGCAACTGGTGCTATGCTCTTGACTAGACAACATGAGGTAGGGGCTGAATCACAAAATGAGAAAGAAGCCTCCAGCAATACCAGGAAAACAATTGCTGCATCTGTATAACTACCAAAAAGAGTTCCACAATATGTTGTCATGATCATTTAGTTTTGAATGAGGAATGAATAAAAGCAAAGGATTGACCCTCCTAGGCACTACCAGATGCAGCAGAACATGAGAATGACAGAATGGAAATTGTAGGAGAGCAAACTAATCAGCTCCCTTGAAGAAACAGAAGTGAAATACTATTTGTGACCATTGGCTGTGTGAAGAAGATGCCAGCAAATTTCTGCGGCACACATCTGTTGCATGCATTCTACAGAAGAACTTCTGCCTGTACTATGTATGGATTTGCCTTCTCCACGTTGTGTGCCAAAAATGCTCTGGTGCTCTGCTTTCTCTGCACCTTTCAAATGAGCCCATATCATGGATTCAGGAGATCACACAAATCCTGGTTTCACTGATGCACGCCGGCAATTGGGGCAACCACGTGTCCCGTTGGTCTGGAGGCACCTGCAGTGGAAACAACAGCACACAGTTCAATCGATACTTCTGAAGAAAGCAGAAAAAAAGTTAGAGCCTTCTTTTGCTGTGGCTGCTTCCATTCACAGGTTTGCGAATAATTATTATTAAAAGAAGAACCATTTCCTGCCTTTTTGTTTGTAACAAAATATACCGTAATATTGATGCCAGTCCATTAAAAACAGTTAAATCAACAAAGCATAATTACAAACACTTTAAAATGTTCATTGAGCCTTCCCACTTTAGATTTGTTTTAAAAGCACCCTCACACTAACTATAGCTCTGTACATGAAACTATCTGATATCTTCATGAAGTGAACCTCTAGCAGATATGGAAGTTATTTTAACAGCTGTGTGTGTCTTTGGTATGGAAGGTGTCTTACAATGATCTCCAAGTATTGCTATTAATATTTTGACCTCTTAAGTTTTGCTACGCTATCTAGAGAATGTTTAGAAGTGATCAGGAAGGGTGAAAGGATACCACATGAATGGATGGCCAAGTGAGTGGATTTCTGCTCACACTGCAGAATTCTTCTTTTTCCTGCCAAATGTGCTCCATGGGTGCAATGAGTCCCAAAAAGAGGTTTAGAGACAAACAACAACTGCAGGGGAGGGGGAGAAATCTGTTCCTCTGGTGCTGCCTCCTCTGCTAACAGAAGACACAACCCTGATACAACCCTAAACCTGTGGGAAAGGTGTGATGTTAATCCCTCATCAAGCAAGGTGGTTCCCTAGCATTTTCTTCCTTTGTTATCTGTAACCAGAGATTGGAGCTACTTAAACACTTCATATATTTACAACTGAGAAAACCAGTGTAGTATAGTGGCTATAGAGTGTCAGAGTAGGACTAAAGAGATGTGGGTTCAAATCTCTGCTCGGCCAAGGAAACTCACTGAGGGATGACAGTGATGTACTACACCTTCCACACCTCACATACATTCAAAACCCTGTTAGGGTTGACATAAGTCGGAAATGACTTGGCAGCACATTAACAACAACAAATGTATTTAACAGAGCACTGATTGGCAGGCACGGAAACTTGCATAGAACAGGATAGGAACGTTTTTGTGTAGAATTGGGCTGTAGTTTTTCAGGCAGTAAACTTGTTTGCCTGGGGCGTCTTCTGACATACTACATAGAATTGAGTAGTGCTTTGTAAGCTCAGTGAAAAAGTGGTCCAATTGGTAAAAAATAAATATGGCTCCACTTAACATTTAAAAAATGTGAATTCAGCCCCTGAGCTGAAAAGGTGTGGGTATGAAAATATCAGGGATGGGCTGGCTTGCAATAGCTTGTACATCATGGAGTCAGCAGGAAAAGGAACAAACCAGTCCATCCCCAGAGAAGAACAAACGGCAGTCAAACCCTTGTCTGATTGCTCCCGAAGTTGAACTTAATTCCAGTCAATTTCAGTGGGACTTGTGTCATCAACAACTTGTCCCACTGATTTCAACTAAAATGTAAATTGAACTAACTGTGTCTGGATTCAGTTTATTTTTTTGTTCCCTGACCACACTGAGAAATTAGTAGAGTAATGGAAGTGCTAAGTATCAGGAGGCTGTTTTAAAAGAGGATTGATTAATCTCTGTTCCTTTCTCAGTAATGCAGTAAGGTAAAGGTTCCCCTTGACATTTAGTCCAGTCATGTCTGACTCTAGGGCGCAATGCTCATCCCCGTCTCCAAGCCGCAGTACCAGCGTTTGCCCGTAGACTGTTTCCGTGGCCAGTGCGACTTAGACACGGAATGGCGTTACCTTCCTACTGTGGTGGTACCTATTTATCTACTCGCATTTATGTGCTTTCAAACAGCTAGGTTGGCAGGAGCTGGGACAAGCGACGGGAGCTCCGTCATGTGGATTCGATCTTAAGACTGCTGGTCTTTTGACCTTGCAGCACAGAGGCTTCTGAAGTTTAACCCGCAGCGCCACCATGTCCCCTTCAGTAATGCAGTGGCTTATAGTAAATACTGGGAGGGAGGGGGGACGGGAATCCTTCATGGATTATTTTGTCCTAATACATATTTTAATGTCACATATCAAATTAAAAATGTTAGTCCCATCTCTGTTATGTTTTGTTGTTTCTATTTCAATATCTGGTACATAGGATGCTTTCTTTTTCAGTAAAGAAAGCTGAGCAACTTTACTGCAGTTTGTGGTTCATGAGCCCACATAAGGTGCTAGCACTGGTGGAGTTACCAACCTGTTCACAGATGCTTTGCCCTCCTATTTACTATGTGCTAAAGTTAGCTATGTCTGATAGTGATTGCCAAGATCATTCAGCCATGAGTTCATTTGCTATTTTTCTTTTCATGCTGGCAATGAAGCTCTCTTTGTTTACATTCAGACTTCCAAGCTGCTCCCTCAACTTCCCTATTCATGCTACGGACGTTTTCAGACAAGGCTTTCATTGTGTAATCCATGTGGCTCATGCATGGAATTTTGCAAGAGGTACAGACAATGGCATATTGTATTTGTGGTCTTTCTATGTGCTCTATTTTTTTCTTGCAAAGCACATCATTCAAGGAAGAAAAGAAGGAATAGTTGTGTGATGCCTTTTCATTTGTATTGTTAAGAGTCCACCTTACAAAGAAGCACCCAAAGTTGCCACAAAACAGGGTGATGCTTGATGTTTCTTTTCTGACCTGTTCCCTGTTGCATTTTCCATCACTCTCCCATGCAGTAGACAACACATTACTATCTAACATCAATGTCTCAGGGTGTGTGTCACTGCGTGCATGTAGAGCATTCTAAACCTAAATTTAGTTATGACTTTGGAATAGAAGATCTTCAAATAACATATGACTTTATGCTTCTATGTATTTATTTTCATTTGGCAGATACTAAACACAGTCTGTCTGTTCTTCCTCTAACCCAATTTCACTATGGTTATGCCGTGTAACATAGTCCAGCTCCTGCTATACAATAAAATTCAGTATATCTTACTCTCTGCCTCACTACAAAGTTGTAGTAATTCCATTAATAGCCATAGTAAGAATGCTTATTTTTCTTCCTCTCAAACCACATTATCCATTTATTAGTGAAAAGATTAATTTTCTAAATTACATTTTTTAAAACTCAGGATTCAGCCTTTTGGACTGGCTGATCAGATACCACAATCTTTGGGGTTATGATTCTATACATCAGGCTGGGGAGAGAGATTCCATCCTTGGGAATTTGCACTCCAGAGTCTGATCTCTTGTCCTAATTTTGCCCTGGGGTAACAACGTTGACTATGCAAAGGCCTTTGACTGTGTGGATCACAGCAAACTATGGCAAGTCCTTAAAAATGGGAGTGCCTGACCACCTTATCTATCTCCTGAGAAATTTATATGTGGGACAGGAAGCAACAGTTAGAACTGGGTATGGAACAACTGATTGGTTCAAAATTGGGAAAGGGGTACCACGAGGCTGGATATTGTCTCCTGGCTTAATTTAACTTATATGCAGAATACATCATGCAAGAGGCCGGACTGGAGAAATCCCAAACTGGAATTAAGATTGCTGGAAGAAATATCAACAACCTCTGATATGCAGATGATACCAGTCTGATGGCAGAAAGTAAGGAGGAATTAAAGAACCTCTTCATGAGGGTGAAAGAGGAGAGTGCAAAAAACGGTCTGAAGTTCAATATAAAAAAACCTAAGATCATGGCCACTGGTCCCATCACCTCTTGGCAAATAGAAGGTGAAGATATGGAGGCAGTATTAGATTTTACCTCCATGATCACTGCAGATGGTGACGGCAGCCATGAAATGAAAAGACGCCTGCTTCTTGGGAGGAAAGGGATGACAAACCTCGACAGCTTAAAAAGCAGAGACATCATCTTGCCAACAAAAGTCAGCATAGTCAAAGCTATGGTTTTTCCTGTAGCGATGTACAGAAGTGAGAGCTGGACCATAAAGAAAGCTGACCACCGAAGATTTGATGCTTTTGAATTGTGGTGCTGGAGGAGACTCTTGAGAGTCCCCTAGACTGCAAGGAGAACAAACCTATCCATTCTAAAGGAAATCAACCCCGGGTGCTCACTGGAAGGACAGATCCTGAAGCTGAGGCTCCAATACTTTGGCCATCTCATGAGAAGAGAAGACTCCCTGGAAAAGACGCTGATGTTAGGAAAGTGTGAGGGCAAGAGGAGAAGGGAGGACAGAGGATGAGATGGTTGGACAGTGTCATCAAAGCTACCAACATGGATTTTACCAAACTCCGGGAGGCAGTGGAAGACAGGAGGGCCTGGCGTGCTCTGGTCCATGGGGTCACGAAGAGTTGGACATGACTAAATGACTAAACAACAACAACAAAAGTTTCTGCTAATGTACATATACTGAGCTTTCAGACAATGTAAGAAATGTCATCAGCTGGAAAATACGTCAGCACAGCATCTACACAAGAGTATTGTGTACACTGTATTCTATTGAGGGTTAATTTTTCACCTGGATGCTTGCTAGAAATAACATTTCTGAAAAGAAAGCTCATGTGTTTGATAACCTTACTGTCTCTGGTTATGAGGCACCACTCCATAAGACAGCATACTTTTTCTAAGTTGTGCTTGCCAATATACTTTTTGAGCCTGGTTTTAAATTTCTCCATTAGTTTCCTTTTTTAAATGCACCCTTCTTTATTTACACAGAGAGCAAATAAGAACATGTGTGCCAAGCGGATTACTCTTAGCCACATGTTAGGCTTGCAGACTCTGGATTTCCAACACACCATCTTGAAAAGTTCCAAGTTTTAATCAAAACCTATGGTTCTAAACCTCACTGTAGCAAGAAAACATGTGGGGATTCCTGATTTTCCATGGCACTACTACATTGGTACATCTCTCTGACTCCCCTCACCCCACCTCAATTCATATTCTCTTATGGAATACATTTTGGAAACTCTAGAGATATTCAACAGTCCATAAATGAATGTTGGTTAATTACCAAAATGCAAAAAACAGGATGGTTGCTGCTGCTATTTGGTTTGATCAGAGGAAGGAAATAGATGTAAGATAGTAGCTTTTACAGGACCAGCTTCTTTCTGGTTGTGTTGAAGAAACTGGGTATTAGTTGATTTGTTATTAATATTCATTGCTTAGATGTTCCTTAGAGAAAGGTATTAAGTTCACTTGATTCCACACAAAATTCTAGGGTTTTTTAAAAACACATAGTTGGGCAAGGAATTAATGTAGTAAAAAAGGGGAAAGGCCCTACTGTCCAGTCCACTAATGAAGTCTTCTCCAGCGTGCTGTCCCCAAGGATGTGAAACTGCAATTTTCATAATTTCTCCAATCAATTCAAGCTATTTGCACAGAATGGTCAATTAATCAACATAATAAAAATAAAGAGTTTTAAAATAAAAAATCATGAACGTCCCTACAGAAATCCTCTTTGTTTCTTCCATGATGGTAACTCACAACAAAGCTTTTTTTTGGAGGGTTGGGTTATCTGTAAGTAGGAATGAATCCACTTGCAACACACATCTTGTTTTAATGCAATTCCTTGCATTAAAGTACAGTAAGATGTGTAGGTCCAACTGCCTGGCTTGCATTGTGCGTATGATGCAATTTTTCATGGCAATATAGTTTAAGCCTGTTCTTGATTAATACTGTATTTCCATTTGAGAATTTTTAATTCCTCTTTCCTTCCAGATCTGTGCCTTCTATTTCCCCCCAATCCAATTTTTTTCCTGCTTACTTGAGGTGGAAGACATGGGAACAGGGCAATGCCTGGAGCTGGTGGTTCTTGTCTCCAATGGATTCCCCACACATGCCGCAGTAAAGTTCCATTTCTTCAACATATTCATGAAACTTCACCACATGGTGGCGAAGCTCCCGCTGCTGCCCTTTGGTGCGATAGATTCCTTCACACAAGCAGTGAATCTTCAGCAGGCCAAGCTGAACAGAAAAGGAAGATGGGGGTGGGGTGGGGGAACTCTGAGCAAAAGATTTACAGAGGACCGAGAAACTGCACTTGGACTGAAGCATTTTAATTTCTGATTGTTAATAACTTTATTTCTTCTTTTGTGCCCTTCGCTCCCTCAATTTAGCAAAAGCCACGTTAGTCTCCTGTCACAAACCTTTGCTGGATCTTTGTTAGCTTTTTTCGCTTAAAGCCCTGGCGCAGTTGGAAGTATATACCTCTTGTGACTAGACACTGATAATCTATCTTGATGAGTGGTCTCACAAAATACAATTTAAAAAAAATTATTTAAAACATTTCTACCCTGACTATATTTAAAGCTGAAAACAAATGTACAAATACTAAAAAGGATCAAACAAATACCACAGTAAAAGATGGTAGACAGAAGCAAGATCAAAAGACATTCAATGCAATAAGGCACTAGAATCTATTTGAGAACCCCATTTAGGTAGCCAGTAAGTACAGGAAATCTTGCTTGAAGAGAAAGGTCTTCGCCTGCTTATAGGAGGACAACAAAGATGGGGCCAGCCTGACCTCCTGTGGGAGGGAGTTCCAGAGTCTGTGAGCAGCAACAGAGAAGGCCCTCTCCTGGGTCCCCACCAAGCATACCTGTGAAGGTGGTGAGACTGAAAAGAAGGCCTCTCTTGATGACCTTAACACCTGGGCAGATTCATAATGGGAGACGTAGTCCTTGAGATAACTTGGACTCAAGCCATTTAGGGCTTTATAAGTTAGGACCAGTATTCTGAATTGTGCCCAGAAACAGATTAGCAGCCACTGGAGCTGCCATAACAGGGGTGCGATAAGGTGGAGGGGATTATGTAATCCCTGTGACCAGCCCCATTTAGCAATCTGGTTGCCACATTTTGGATTTGATGACATTTCCAAGCATATTCCAGAGGCAGCCCTACATACAGCATGTTACATTAATCCAGCTGTGATGTAATGAAGGCACGAGTCACCATGGACAAATCAAACCTTCCAAGAACAGGCACAGATGGTACACTATCTTTAATTGTGCAAAATCATTCCTGGCCACTACTGAAACCTGAGCTCCAGAGACGAATCCAGGAGCACCCCCAAGCTGTGTACCTGTGTTTTTTAAGAGGGAGTGTCATCCTATCCAGCACAGGCTGGATCCCTGTTCCTTGATCTGCCTTTCAACTGACCAGGAGCACCTCTATCTTGTTTGGAGTACGTTTCAGTTTATTCACCCTCATTACCGACCTCAGACTCTGACCTAGAGAAGAAACAGCTTCCTCAGATTTTAGACAGCAAGGAGAGATAGATTTGGGGGTCAGCTGCATACTGAATACTTAAGCCTGGTAGAAGCATCTCTTTTTCCATATTCATTATTCACAATTACTGTTTGCCATAAACAACAGAAGAAAAAAGCAAATGGTCTTGTGAATTTTTTTCCCTTTTTAAACTGGCAGGAATGCAAAAAAAAAAAAAAAAGAAAAAGAAAAAAAAAAAAAGAGCATTTCTGTAGTTTTTTGCCTTAAGTGCCAAAATAATTTGGTTGGGCTTGAGTACTATTACCCTTGATATGTGTCTCTCTCTCTCTGTGTGTGTGTGTGTTCTCTCTCTCTCTCTCTCTCTCTCTCTCTGTGTGTGTGTATGGGGGGGAATATAGGTGGAGTGGTGCTATTAGCTGTTCTGCCTCAAGCAGCTAAATGTCTTAGGCCAGGCCTGTTGTCCTTGCCAGAACATTCATCAACCTCTGCCCTACAGAGTGGCTAAGTAAAGAGATACCTACCCTCAAGGAATGAAAATATTTGATCCTACTTAGTCCTAGCTGCTAGGTAGCACTTGTCTGGTAAGCTACTATTCTCCCTTCCAGTCTCCATATAGAAGCAGCAGTTGGAAAAGCCATAGCAGCCAGTGATTTCTATGGTCTTGGTGGACATGTTATCTCACTATCTCTCCATAGCCTTCAAAAGTCTCACTGCCTCTTAAAAAGAACCTGACATGTTCTCATATATGTATTTTCTCTTGGTCAGCTGCTTTGGAGGCTGGCTGCCAGGCAAACAGACAATAAGTGTATATGCATTTTCAATAAATGATAGACTCTGATCTATACAGCAAGAATATGGAAGGCGAGATGACTTACCTTGTTTCCTAATCCCTCTGCCAGCTCATGAGCCTTCTCCAAGCTTTCTAATGCCTATGAAAAATGAAACAAATTGCATATCACCACAACAAGGAAAACAGAAGTTATTTCCACTAGCAACAGAGCTATATAGCTTCTGTGCATTCATCTTGTAAGTCAAGAGATCCATCATATGTAAAGGTTATGGTTTTCAGCCTTAAATTCATTTTGAAAATTCTTATCCAATGTGCAGATTTCTGTTTGAATGTCTTATCTGTGATTAAGAAGGCTATGTACACAAAAATATTCACTTTGGAATGCACCTTGTCTTTAGGGCATTCAGTGGGGCCCTTGTACCTGATTCCGGTAGTTCTCACTTCCCTCCACTGAAGTTCTCATTTCCCTCCACTAAACAGACAACCTCATCCCTTTTACCATTATGAACAGGAACTAAGTGGGGGGGTGGGTTGACTGACTTCCTAGATCTCAGTCCCCTCTTTCTTACAAAAAACAACATTTTGTTATATTTCACATTCCAGTTTGAAACTCTTTCAATTCCCCACTCCCTTATTAGAAATGACACTGCCAGTATACTATAGCAGGAGGTGTGACTTTTGTGTTGTGGTACCTTGAGTGGTAAAAAAAAAAGTGTAGAATGTGAGGTTGGCCAGGTGCCAGCAGTGCAGGGAGATGCAGTAAGAGGCAGTAGCACAGCAAGAAGACCAAGAGCATCCAAGGCAGGCATGTGGGAAGGAAGCAGATGGGTAAAGAAGGTACTGGGAAATGTCTGAGCAATCACAGAGTATGGTTGTTGTGGGTTTTTTGGGCTCTTTGGCTCCTTCGCAAATACAATCACAGAGTAATTCGCAACCTTTTGGTCTTAAAAGCAGGGTCTAAAAATTCCAAACTATGTTGCAAGGCTGCTTGAGACTGCAGCCTCAAGAGATCATCACTCACAGACATCAGTTTCTGGACTCCTGTCTATAGTTTCTCTCTGCTATCCATGAAGGGGTTGTACTCAACCTGATGAAGTGGAATTTTCTCCATGAAAGCTTGCAATTTGTTTTATTTTGTAGTGGTCCAATAAAAGATATCACCCTCTCTTCCATTTGTGTAATCTTGGAGACCACACTGGTTTTTCCTTGTTCTTTATGCCCTTAACATAGGAGGTGTCAGCAGTAGAGCTGAGGGATGTGTCAAGGGTGGCAGTTGAAGGGCAAAGAAGACCAGTGCAAGAAATAGGGAGACCAAGGACACATCAAGATATAAACCCCAGAATAAGGGAAGCGGGAAGTACCAGTTATTATTAGAACAAATGCCATGTTTGAAGGAGCCTTTGGATAGCAGGCCATTTTGGCTTGAATGAAGTAATGCTTCGGCTTGAATCCAAAGTCCAAGCTCATCTAATGCAGGGATCATCAACCCCCGGTCCGCGGCCCGGTGCCGGTCCATGGGACTGCCGGAATTGGGCCACAGACACAGATCACCCCCACCCACCCCCGCACGCACCGGGGGGTGGGGTGTTGTGCTTGCAGGTGGGCGTGTTGCGCAAGCATGATACGCCCATCCCCCTGGGGGGAGGCTTGCTTTGAACGGAGGGGAGGCGGCTTTGCCATGGTAACCCACTCGAGCCTGGAGGACCTTGAGCTAATGGGTGGAGCACTGATGCAAAGAGAAAGATGCAGCTGTCATCTCCCCAGCAACCCCGGGTCAGAGGAGGGTGTTGTGCTTGCAGGTGGGCGTGTTGCGCAAGCATGATACGCCCATCCCCCTGGGGGGAGGCTTGCTTTGAACGGAGGGGAGGCGGCTTTGCCATGGTAACCCACTCGAGCCTGGAGGACCTTGAGCTAATGGGTGGAGCACTGATGCAAAGAGAAAGATGCAGCTGTCATCTCCCCAGCAACCCCGGGTCAGAGGAGGCTAAGCAACTTACTAATTGTTCTTAGCTTTAAATATTGTCTTTTAATGATGTTAACCACTGGTGTATACTCATTGTTCTAAACTTTAAATACTGTATTTCGGGACGCCGGCCAAGCCCCCGTGGCTGCTCCTGTCATGGGCTGACCACCCGCCCAGCCAGGAGGAGGAAGCAGGTCTCGATGCCCCACTGGTGCTCCAGAGCCACCATCTCGGCGGCATACTCAGCAAAGAGGACGCAGAAGCCCTTGTCCTGGAAGGTGTCGGAAGCAGCCTTGGGTCCTTTTCAGGGAAAAAGGTGTGATAAAATATTCTAAATAAATAAACAGTAAAAGGAAGGGTAGATAATATGTAGCAGGCAGGGTTAGTAGAAGACAGTGGATGAAATCCAATAGTAAGTCTCTAGTGAGTACAGTCATTGATAATTTGATTCAACAGGCCTTACTCTAGCAACATATAGGCGCTCGGCCCATCAGCTCAAGGTTCGAGTGGGCCACCATGGCAAAGCCGCCTCCCCTCCGTTCAAAGCCAGGCTCGTCCAAGAGGTGGGCGTGTCATGCTTGTGCAACACACCCACCTGCAAGCACAACACCCCCCATACATACGGGGGGTGTCCCTGCCCCCCACCGGTCCGCGCACGGAGTCTGCACCCCCCCAACTGGTCCCTGGTCGGAGAAAGGTCGGGGACCACTGATCTAATGGTCTGCATTTCAAAGCCTCCAATGTCTTCTTTTGGGGGCTTTAGGGGGATTTTTTTAAAAGTTATGTTTTGTTTTGCTTTTGCCGAATTGGATAAAATTTGTAATGTGAGAAAAATAGGTCTAAAGTAATGCCATTAGACTTCTTTAAAAAGAGAAAATGCCCTTTCCTGTGGTTTGGGGTAGTTTGCATGAAAATGACAGTGAAAATATCACACACACACCCCCTGAATTTCTCCACGGAAAAGTTTAAGAAGGGGAGGGGAAGGGTTACGGAGTTGTGAAGAAAACACAATGCCTTAACCTTTCAGAAAATAATTTAATCTTTTGCTAAATTGACATTGAGGTCATAGTCATTCTGCATCCCTTCCATTAGGAATTTAAGGCAAGTTGTGTGAAAAAGTTACCTCAGAATTGAAAGCTAGAACACTCAAAACACAGACCAACATCTCTCCATTTGCCTGATATTTTTATTCATGAAAAACCTGAGGAAATGCAAAAACTTGTCATGCTGAGCATGGAAGACATACACACATCTTCCAACTCTGAATTTGTTAAGAAGCCTGAGGGCCAACCCAGTTTGCCTCAGGTCCACAACAATCAGAATAGCTCTGAAGTCAATTGCTTTGCCTCAAATTTGTGTTTTGTCAGAAGCAAGGTAAAGCCATAGTGCACAGTTCAATGACAATGTTAATGTTGTGTGTCAGCAGCAAAAAAGGCTGATTCCACAGTAGTATTGTTAGGAAAGGAACAGGAAGATAACAGGGCTATTCAGGATATAGCAATAAGAAGTAAAGATGACCTGTTCCAACAAAGTGGATAATAGGCTGGCTTTTAGTTTAGGTTTAGTTTACTTGCATTGTGTGAGGAGGCAGAGCCAGGACCTTCCTTATCAGTTCTATTACAGAAATAAAAACTAAGGAAGCCTTTAGGGTGCATATCCATTGTTTGGAAAGTTTTCTAATCCTCTCATTGTTTTGTCTTTCTCAGTACAAGTGTTTCTCAACTTTTTGTATCATATATCCTATTAACTGATGGGCCAAAGAGTCCAAGTCCTGCCATGATAAAAACAAAAAGGCCACTTTTCCCAAGAAGAAAATGTATGCGTTTACCAGCATTGTATTGCTAATTAATGCTGAACTGATGGGCAGAAGGAAAAGGACAAAAGCTGAGCTATAAAGTTACTACCAGCATACTGACTGGGATACAGGAGAGAGGCTTCTGTGTTGCTGCTCCCAGGCTGGCCCCATCTTTGCTGTCCTTCTGCAAGCAGGCAAAGACCTTTCTCTTCAGGCAAGCCTTTCCCTCAGTAATCTAGCCACCTGTGTGTGATTTTTAGATGAATTATTATTGTTTTTTCCCCCTTTTTTCAGTTTTCCATTTCTCAGTGTGGCATTTTTTCTCTTTTTAATATTTGTATAAGTATTGTTCCTAGCTTTAATATTGCCTTTTAATGATGCAAGATGCCTCTTCTTACTAATTGTTCTTAGCTTTAAATATTGTCTTTTAATGATGTTAACCACTGGTGTATACTCATTGTTCTAAACTTTAAATACTGTATTTCAGTGTCGGAAGCAGCCTTGGGTCCTTTTCAGGGAAAAAGGTGTGATAAAATATTCTAAATAAATAAACAGTAAAAGGAAGGGTAGATAATATGTAGCAGGCAGGGTTAGTAGAAGACAGTGGATGAAATCCAATAGTAAGTCTCTAGTGAGTACAGTCATTGATAATTTGATTCAACAGGCCTTACTCTAGCAACAT